TATATTAAACATTTAGATAGAAAGAAATTAGATGCAAACTCTATTACTCTTTATCAAGGGACTCAGACATCTAATATATAAAGATATTATCAATAAATTACTCAGACATCTAATATATAAAAATATTATTAATAAATTAATAATATCTATTGTCACTTCTCTCAATTTTTTTTTTTTAAGAAAATTCTCTCAAAAAATTAATATCTATTGTCACATAAATCACATGTGTTCTTCTATGCATTATTATATTTTCATAATTTTTAAGTTCTTTTAAATTTATTGACGGCATCATAGGTGATGCACGCTTACCAATAACATATTGAGCCGCATGACTGCATCAAACCCTTGATCCAAATTGAGTCTGCATGTGACGTTTGAAAACGCTACTAAATACATCTAAGAGTAATTGCCCAAAAAAAAAGTACATCTAAGAACCCTCCATTGATTGTATGATCTGATTCAATTTCTGGTGCTTATAGTGAAGAGATAGATTAGAAAATAACTAGCTGCGTAGCGAGGCCAGTGAAGTTGTATGTCCTATCTCCTATCCACAATCTCAAGTATCGCCTGGTTTTGCTTTTATCATTCTTGAGAACCAATTTGATCTCTTCTTTTGCGCTAATCATCACATCATGCATGTAACCCATGGTGGGGTTTGCATCACTATCAACCGATCATAGCACTTACACCAAAGGGCGAGAAATATCCAATGTATTGTATACTTGGGCCAAAAAGATGTATTTAACATGGTTTGCTCTAATTTCTCCCATCAGGATGCTTTGACCAATTATTTTTAATCCACTTTTCAGAAGTGAACATACTCCTTAATGCATCTATTTGATTGCATAGACTTTGAAGAGTGAGATATGTTGTGGCAAACCTTGTAACTCGAGCTCTCACTATCTCTCTTTTCTTGTGAAATGCCCCATCATGTTTATGACTAAGGAAAATGTAATGAAAACCAGTAATGAACTTAGCTTTGGTAAATGCAACCTCCAACTTCAGGCATCTTCCTTATGTCCTCAAGCCTGAGATCTAGACAATGTACTGCACAAGGAATTCAAAACATATGCCTTCTCTTCAATGTCAACAAATGCCCAACTGCCGAATAAATTTCATCATTGTTTGTGACAATTTGTAACACATGCTTTTTCACAACCATATCTACAATCTCATTCATCAAGCCACACTAATAAGTTGCATCACGTGCCTTGTCTGATGCATTAAAAAATTTCACAAAAAGTCATAAGGAACAATTGACCAAAACATTAATGAATGCCTGAGAGCTTCCATCATAACATCTGTCACAAATGATGGTCACCCATACGCATCTCACCCTTCTCATTGAGAATTAAAATTTTCTCGGCATTGTTCATTGCATATTTCAAAAGGGACTCACGAAGCTCACAAAATGAAGGGGGTTTAATCCTAGAGCCCAAGTGCCCAATTGCTTTGGCCATAACCTTGAAAGTATGAAAGCAAGTGGTATTGAACGGAATGCCAGCTTGGAAAAACCACTTAGCATTATACATACAATCCTTGTTCCTTTCTTCTGTCTTGTATCAATTTCCAATTCTGATTCTTTTTTTTTCTCCCCCCGCTGTATCCTCTACCACAACATCAGGGTTCGGGAGGCAAAATGTATCCATTTGCCCCTTAGGGCATAGCTTTTTCATCCAGTACCACTAATATTTATAACCCTCTTCTTTGTGGTCCTTCACTTGTTTCCAACTTAGGATACATTATCTTCATTAGGGGTGGCAACGGGTCGGGAATGGGTCAGGTCCTGCTGAACCCGTACCCCTACCAAAAATATTACTTGTAGACCTGTACCCATACCTGTATCCGTACTCGTACCTGACAGGTCAAAAAACATAGTACCCGTACCTGAGAGGGTACTCAGGACCCGGACGTGTACTTGACAGGCTTCTCTTATGTATTTGATTTTAAACTCCGCCACCCCTTTTATAGTTCTTACACCCCTGCGAACCTATTCACCTCTTCGATGTGGGATTAATCCCACCCACGCATTGGCGGCCCATCCTGGAAATTCAAAAACTCTCTCTGTCTCTCTAGATTTTTTTTTGAATGCCCCATGCATTAAATTTTTTTGAATGCTCCACGCTGCCAGCCTGCCACGCACCAACTCATTATGTGTGGGCCCCACCAACTCATTAAAGTTTTTTGAATGCCCCATGCTGCCAACCTGCCATGCTTTTAAAGCATTACCAGTATGCTTTTCTCGTGAATTGTGCTTTTCAAACCATCCCATTTAATTGCTTTATGCCGTATATCTCACGCACATACCATACGTGGCAAGATATCAATGGATACTATTATACTAGGGGTGTAAGGATCAACGGATACTAAGGAAAAGCAAAAAGTGGTCAGTGCTTGGGATTAATCCCACATCGAAGAGATATATAGAATCCCCGGGGTGTAAGCTCTATAAAGGGGGCGGGGAACTTAGGGTTGGTTTAGAAAATTAAATCATATAAAGTAATAAAACTAAAGCTAAATTATATATAATAAATACAGGTCCAAGTACCCGCCGGGTCGGGTATAGCCATCCCCGTACCCGGACTTGGGACTGTTCGGGTGTCATTTATTGGACCTGGATCCTACCCGCGGGTCCAAAACTTAGACCCATACCGAGGCCCATGTCGGGTATACCCGCCGGGTTTCGATCGGATCCGGTTCCATTGCCACCCCTAATCTTCATCTTCCTCGTCATCCAAATCTTCTAACGATCCTTTTGCTTCAATGTTCTCTTTTCTTTTGTTTTCCTTTTTATTCTTTTGGACTATCCATATATGCCCCAATCTCTATACTAATCTCATCGGTTGCTTTAAGGTAGACACTTGCATTCCCAGTAGTACCAGCAAGATGCTCCTTTGCTAGGAAATACCCGCTTTTTAAGTTTTCTCGCATCAGTTTTTGATCCTTAAGGCTGTTGATTTTTTAATATTTCCATGCTGGATCTTTGTTACTCAAAGAAGATGGAGATATTGTTCCAAGAAAAAAGTATTAGGAAATAGAACTTACTGAAAAAGTTGATCCTAGGTCTCTAACATCTGATACCAAAACGAAAACCAAATGAAATTTTTATTTCTAAGTTCCAATCTCCTCAACCTCCATTACTTGGTAAGTCCTTGCCCAAAGACCTTCAAAACAATGCCTAAAACTAACTTGAATAGAAAATTATTTCGCAATTTCTAGGTTATAATCCCCTTTGAACATTTAAAAAAATGGTTCTAAAGGGTTTCCGAAGAAAAAAGTTGATCCTAGATCTCTAACTTCAGATACCAAAATGAAAACCAAATGAAAATTTTATTTCTAAGTTCCAATCTCGTCAACCCTTGAAACCCTCCATTACTTGGTAAGTCCTTGCCCGAAGACCTTCAAAACAATGCCTAAAAGTTGTGGCCTGAATATGCGGGCACTTGTCACTCCTGTGATGCATCGCACATGGGGGCACATCATGAAATCCTGCATATGCAGCAGGTGTGTGAATTAGGGTGATCCTCAATGATGTAGCCACCTAATGTGGTATGCAGTTACATTTGATAACTATGGTTAGAATCGACCTGGTTTGCTGGGGGTTGACACAAAGTTCAAATTTGTTCAATATGTCACTGCCCAAGAATATTTACTGCATGTGTCAATAATTAAAATGTTTTTGAGAGTAAAAGAAATGACATGATCATGTGTAAAATTATTTTCAAAACATTCATATTCTGGAAAGGACTCGTGAACAGAGCATTTGACGTGATATTTCTCTCATTTTGAGGTAAGATATCCAAATACGATCTCTACTAGGTTTGAAGATCTAACTTTTGAAATTTTACCTTCATAACACTTATAAATTTTTGATATCCAAATACGTTCTCCACTAGGTTTGAAGATCTAACTTTTGAAATTTTACCTTCATAATACTTATAAATTTTTTTGTAAGCTAATACTTTGTATCAGACAAAGATAATAATTCTAGAAGATGATAGCAATTCATCGTCTTAGAGATCCTATAAATTTAATCATGTATATGGTGTTGCTAGAAATACAAAATAGTCCCAAGGGAGTTAATTTCTACCTGCTACTGGCAGGAGTAGTAAAAAAACACTCCCAAGGTTTAAAAAGACAAAAAGTTCCCTAATTATTGATCATTTTTGGCTGCAGTGCAGCTGAATATAAACATAAATCAATAACATACTTATTGCAGGGAGACATTCACCTCAAATAGGCCAATATGTCTTATTTCCCGGACAATGCAGCACCATCATCTATGCCTGAAGGCTACAAATGATGGTATGCATCTGCCTTCCACCCGGTTTGTGCAGGTAGAAATAATGAAAGGCAAAATAAACCTTGATGCATGGAGTCAAATCGACTTCTGACAGGGTAGTGTGCTTCAGAGGTGAATTAGTCTAGTGGATATCAGAAACGTGCTTGAACTGGGCTGCCCTTTTAAGCCTTTGAGTGTCTTATGCCTACGTGGACCATTCAATTGTTTCCAACTATTATGGGTTCAACTTAGTTTCCAAGCAATTGAACCAAATAAATTTTCCGACTGATTCTACAATAGGCGTCCTGGAATGTACTAAATCAATTTCCTTTTAGTGCCTGCTATATCCATTTGATTATAATTAACCACCGAAGTCCTGTAATCTAATCATGCTTGCGCCTTGTGCCCTGCCTAGCTCGTGTATGTGAGTGTGCACGCATGTGCATTGCATGTGCAACTTTTGTTTGTTACCTGAGCTTGTAGAGGCATGTTGCTATAGAAAGGGAATGATGAGTGGTTTGCTTTTTCTTACTTATGTTTCATCTTCAGTGATTTCAAATTATGTTTCTTTTATTTGGTGTCATAATTCAATCATGACAGTATGACAAAATAGTGTTGAATATCTTTAGCTTATCTATCATCACTTTGCATCTAAATTGTGCTCTTCAATGGTATGTTGGGTTGGTTGACTTGATTTAATGTATATGTTCATAAGCAGATTTTTGCACGAATGACCCCATATAGCTTGGGTAGGGCTGCTTGCGTCTGTAGAAAATGGCGATACACAATTCGCAATCCCATATTTTGGCGTGGTGCATGTTTGAAAGCTTGGCAGGTACTGTCTTACTGCTAAATAAAATTCATTCTTTATTTGTTTTGTGAATATCAGTAATCCTTATGTGTTTTGCGAATATCAGTAATCTGAAATTTTAATCTCCTGCTTATGAAGATGACTGGACCAGCAGAGAATTGTAGACTCGTCCGGTTTAGCTATGGGGGCTCATGGAGGAAAATGTGGCTTTTGAGACCTAGGCTTCGTTTTGATGGTAAGAGTTAGGAAGTCTTTGAGGCCATAATGTTAGAAATTAGAACTGGGTGAGCCTTTCATCTTTCTTCTCCATTTTTTGGGTTCTCTCTTTTAGTGGCAGTTTTTTCAAGTTCTATTAGTCATGAAACACTCCATTTTTGTGATTTCTCCGGTGTGATAGATAATACTTCTTTGTCGATTCATGATACATCAGACTAAAAATCTGCCTTATTCTAAATGAAAGAGCATGAACTTGTACATGGCTGGATGTGGATCTATTTGTTCTACGAAAAATAAAAATGCACATTGATGTGTATGTTCGCATATGAACCTATTTGTGTGCTGTTAAGAAAACTAAGCATTTTTAATTTCATTAAATGCTCATTAAATGCCATTTGGATAATGTTATATGCTGGGTGGATATCTTAGGATGATGCCCGTGTGACATGAAAAAATAATGCTTTCTGTTTGCCTTCATTTGCTGTAGGCAGTGGCTCATATGGCTTTTCAGTCTAAGCGGTTATCCATTAATGAAATGGATGCTTGGATGCAAATGGCTTTAGATGCTGCCAAAGATATCTTATCGATTTCTCTTTTGATGGTTCACAAAATTTTATTAGAGTAGATCATATAAACAAACATATGCTCCAAAATTCAGAAAGAGAATGAAGAAACAGCATACGTAGAGAGGAAGAGAAAAAGATTGAATTAAAAAGTGAAAACAACCCAAGGAAGAGAGGTCAAGGTGGCATCCTAATGTCATTCTTGATTCCAATACTGAACATTTACAGTATTAGCAGCTCTTCCTTGTCCCTTTTTCGTTGGCTAGTACATCTGCCTCCTCATCGGCTGCAGCGACACCCATGCTGCCTTCTCCCCCAAGGGAGTTATTAGAATGACACATCTTTGCCATCACAAATATCAGAAATATCCATGAAGAACATCAAGAGATGCAAAGAAATTGATCCCTTTATCCTAGCCCATGTTCATTGAGGCAATTGCCTTCCCTCCTCCAGTGGCAATGCTATACGAGGACACACTTACAAACCTACTATCAAAGCACAATGAGCCAACTGAGCCATAAATGTTGTAATTTTCTCATCATTCAGTACCCAAACATACCCCCCTGATTACCTTTATATATCCATTGAAGTCCCATCTTCAATGTACCATCCTTATGGAGACACCAGTAACGAAATTAAATTTATTTTGCTGACAGCGTCCTCTTACGATCCTTTGATTTTAGTCTTGGTAATCAAATTAATTATTTTCATTAAAAATGAATTATTGCCAAAATATCTCAAGATATATGCCATGGAGGTATCATTCTTGTTTCGTCTCGACTACTTCACGAATGATGGAGTATCATTTATCTTTCCTGGATAGTGATACTTGTGAAATGATGGGTTTGGTGTGGAGTCTATATTCCTTTATTTATTTGTCTCTGTGTTTCTTCTGCATTCTCTTGTGCAAGTTGTCATGCGGATTATGCTCCTAACTTCTATTGCATCCTGTTCTAAAATCAGGTCTTTATGTGAGCAGAAATACTTACATCCGAGCTGGAGTTGCTGAGTGGAAGGTTACTAATCCTGTGCATGTGGTATGCTGAACTGTTCCTTTCTGCTCGATCCAAATATCATTAAAACAGAGCTCCAAAGGTGCTTATTACAAGAAAACCATTGAAAAATGAATCCCTCCCATAAAGCTATCAGGGTCTTAATGTTGTTTTCTTGCCTTGTGAAGTTCAAAATTTCTATTAGACCTGGGTTTCTGAGAACGGTGGTAGGTTGATCATCTTAATGAAGTGATGCACATGAGATTGTTGATTCCTTGGCTAATAAAAAACTAAAGGTTTGAGTGCTGTCTTGTGATTTTGCAGGTGTGCTACTACCGGTACATAAGGTTTTATCCATCAGGGAGGTTCCTGTACAAGGTAACCTTTTTTTAACTCCTACTTTTTTATGAGGTTCGTACACAAGTTTGGGACCATTTCTTGAAATACTAAGAGTTAACCGAGCGACTTATGACAAACCTCTGGATTAGAGTCTCGTAATCTTTTCTAATTGTTATTTACTGTTCAAATTTTCAGAACTCATCTCAGAGACTCAAAGAAGTGGCGAAGTACATGAACTTCCGTGCGTCCAATGCTGAGTGTGTTTTTAGTGGTCATTACACTTTGACAAATGACCAGGTTGGTTATATTTGTTGAATTGATTCCATATAGTTTCTGGACCTTTCCGATTCATGATGAAAGAGTTATCTCCTTACCCATTTTGTTGCGCATAGATTATTAGGGATATTTTGTTATAATATTTCATCTTCATGACTTGTAGTTTATACCCGCTGTTATGAAATTGTGAAGTAATAGCCCATATACCTCAGTTCTATTTGATATGCTGTTAATGCTTTATTGAGAACTCTTAGAAAGATAATTGAATTATGAATAATATTATCTTAATAGATTATTTGTCAGGCTGTGGGCTTGAATCTTGGATTCAATAGACCCACACAAGAGAAACTGTGCTGTCCCTTGATTGAGCCTTATCTTGATAGAAAATGCAGGATATCTTGGGCATTTTCTCATGTAGGGACTCATCTCTCCTTGATTCCTTGTTTCATGCAAATTTGAGTTGTGGACGATGACCAAACGATCATCTATTCCCTAGTTCATGGAAGTAACCAAGAAGAAATTTAGAAGCAATGGGGAAAGAAGAAAGTTTTAAAAAAAAACATTCAGTGTAATTTGGAATTAAATGTACTAAAGGCCCTTACTTGAACAGAACTAAGATACCCCTACAAACTGATATTTATGATGGAATAGTACCACAGAAATATTAAATATACATATGAAAGAACTGTTGGTATGTGACATGACAAACTAGTGGAGGTTTTGTATGTTATTCTTTATTGCTTTATTATGGTCATAATGATTTATACATAGTTCACAGGTTGAGGCTGCTATATTATACCCAGGATTGCGTCCTACTGTTTTGAGGATCCGTCTAAGGTATGTTCATTCAGTCCATACAGATTCCAATATAACACCTTAATTATTCTTTTTTCTTTAATTAATAAGAACTTGCTGGGAAGTTAGGATTATCTTGTGTAAATACTTGAGACAATTCAGAGTGTAATATCCCTTGATTTATATCAACAGATTGAGGGGAACATGTGATGGAGCAAACAATCGGTTAGATCTTCTTTCCCTTGTGACAAGTGGAATAAATGATAGCGAGCTTAATGATAGTGATGGAAATATGCTCGGTATGGTAGAAGGGTGGCAAGAGGATGAGACACACAATCTTGATGTGCCTGCAATTTCGCATAGGAGGGGTCTGACACCCTTTGTATTCGTTCCATTTGAAGAGGTAATGAAGTTTTGGCTGCATAGATTCTCTCACTTGAGGCATTGTTTTCGTCTATATGCCACTTTGTGGCTTGCATACATATTTGTACAAAAACAATTCAAGGAAAATACCCTAAAGGACTACGAGTCCTTATAGTTTATCAATCATTTAATGTACGTTGTTTATTATGCATTACCAAAATTTTCTCACTCCAATTTGTCATCTGCCCATACATACTAAAACTCGACTAAATTTCTTCCTTTGCAATTGATTATTTGTTGACCTTTTTTATAGCTAATAGTAACTGTGGCTAACAAGGATGGACTACATTTTAATTTTTGTTGTGGGTGCAGGTTGAAACATCTGTTCTGAATCTACCAGTTGATAAGATGGACTATTTTGTTCCAGGATAGCGATTTTCGTTGAAATTATTTACTCATGGGCGATGCCGTTGTATAGTAAGATGTCGTCTTGTATATCTTTTATTTGTTGAGATTGAAATCTTTGGAGTCATCATGTTCCATATATCCTTAGGACTCCATTTTACCATGTGTTATTTATTCCGGTTTGTATTTGTTCTTGCCTAGTGTTCCCAGTTCCCTTGTTATATAGTTGACAGTTCGGTAAATTTCATTGCAAATTTACTTGTATTTAAACTATGGTTGAGAACTCGACCAGTGTCAGGTATCAGCATTTGTGATAGTTTCAATCAGGTGTGATTGCAAGAGGTCAAAAAGCTTCAAATAAAGTTTGTAGTAAATTCTGAGAAATGTTAAATATGAATGCGATTGAGATGTCTGTGCATACCTCACTACATTTTCGGAGGAAGGTTGTTGAATTTCAGTCTGGATTTCAGACTATTTTGCTTAGATTCCTAATTCGCCCCTGTTCTTTCATTTCATTTTAGTAAATCTTTTTTATTGCCTTACATCCTTTCCAAAAAATAAATTTTGGCACTTTTAAGACTTTTGTCACCCCAGTGTCGCAATGCTAAAAATGAAAATTTCCATTTCTCTGTCCTTGACTTTTGCATTGCTTCCTTCTTCAGTCTCATGCCTGGCTGGTCTCCTTTTCTCACTATGGCTGCTAATTTCTCTCCTGCTTTAGTCCGAAACACGTGCAATGGTTCTTTAAAGCCTTAAGACTCCAGAGTCCAATGTCCAAATAGCCGGCAAGGTAGTCACACCCAGAATGGGTCCTCACCCATGTAGCATTGAATATTCACATTGGAATAACTCAATCTAGAGTCAAGACTCTGGGATACTTTTGCTTGGGAGTTCCCCAAAAAGCATATAATGGTTTTTTTTTTTTTGTTTGCTATTTCAGCTATAAGAATCGAACTTGAGATATAGTGTTGTTAACATCAGTCTTTAACTGCTAAACACTCGATTCCTAAAAAGCATCCAATGCTTGGCGTGGCTCAAAAATAATAACATTTATTTTTGGTAATTGCACAAGCAGGGAATTGGCATTGAACACCATGAAAGGTCTGGTACCTCATAGAAAGTCATGAACCCAAAACATATTAATGCTTGAACCAAATAGTATGATCTCTATTTTGTGAGGTTAAATATAAGGAAAAAGTTTATATAAGGCTGCAACTTTTACCTCTATAGCTATGGATGTGCCTAAAAAATCCATGGGAAAAGTTTGTTTTAATGTTGAAAAACCTTTTGATTGATCATCTCGACATCGAGATGTATGATCCTGAAAAATAAAAAGATTTTAAGTTTCAGAAATAATGCATTTTACAACAGATTATCTATGTCGTCTATTTTCAAGATTTTCATATGTTTATAGATCTATTTGATTTTAATTATTTTTAAAATTTAAAATTTTATAATTAGATATAAAAATAGATTTTGAGAGAATCCTAACAACATTTTGCATCAAAATTATATACCATGATAAAATTTGAAAGTGCACTTTACCTCTGCACTTACAGATGCATCAATTGTGCATGTTAGTGCAAGAATTCATCGAGCCTTCGTAGAATTATCAACTTTTCCGACTTGGTCCCATTTTCAGACCTAGACTAGCCTAGATTATGTCCCAATCTCTTTTCATAATAATATTCCCCATTGAGCAAAAGATCAAACAACGTAGCTTTCCCCATTTACATCTACATCACAAATTATTTACATCTACATCACAAATTGCTAAAATTCGCAATAAACAACCCATTACTCTCCAGTCTCCACTAACGATTACATGTGAATTTGTTTGCACGCCACTTAAGCTTCGTAGGGAGAAAAAAAATAAAAAAAAATAAAATAATAATAATAAGAATAATAATAATAAAGTTGAAAAAATAAACCATCTCTCAAGATTTACAAGAGAATATCAATTTTATTCAACTCGTTTTTATCATTCTCTGATTTGCTTACAATGAAAGACATCGTTCATTTAAATAGAAAAAACAAATTAAAAAAACCTTGCTTACAATGAAAGACCTCGTCCATTTAAATAGAAAAACAAATAAAAAAAACCCCTTTTGGACGAACTTTTCCTTTCTCTCTCTCATTTACTTCTCAAAATTTCCCAATCTTTATCTTCTTTATAAATCCATCTATTTCTAAATCTCCTATAAATCTCTCAAATCCATCAAAATAAGAGACCTAAATCCCTTTGCCCAATATTAAAATCGAGCATATCCCCAATCCTATTGAAACCCGCACCCCACTTTATCTATGCGCACTTCCTAAAAACTCAAAAACTAATAAAATTATAATTCTAAATCTTTTCCAATTTTTATCTGCATCAACTTCTCTTGTAAATATCATATGTATGGGTTTATCTACGATGAAACTATTTATCTTTATTACAAGTTGATCATAATCACTCGTACTCATTAAATATCAAATTGGAAGGCTTGGACTAGTCATGAAGTCCGAGATTTTTTTTTCTGAACTTTTAAGTCTTTTCAATGCGAATCTTACAACCACTCAATTTAAAATATAAGAGACTTAAAATATAAGAGACAAGAGTGATTGTGACCACCTTGTACAAAAAGTAAATGGTCTATTTTGTATACATTTCCTTTATGAAACTCTTAAATGCTCCAAAAGAGTTTCACCTCTTATATAAAATAATGATTAAAGGCATAAAATTCACCTCTATATAAAACAATGATTAAAGGCATAAAAAATGAGAGCAGACAGAGACAAGTTCATGGTTAATCTTTGGGATAAATTACAACAGGTAGAGGTCCTGTATAACCTCATCTTAACCATCGAAGAGTAAAGGAATGAGAAAGAATCAACGACTATCATTTGCTAGCTAACCATCCAAGAGAATCCATGGTGTTTAATACGAGATCAAAGGAAAAAATAATGAATCAGACCTAAGGGATCTGATTTTTCCATAAATTATTAAATAAAAAGGATGCATAAAACAAAGAGGAAACAAATAAATCATTTGTCAGTCGCATTTGAAAGGTGTTGAGGTATGGGGGAATACTAACCCACAGCTCAAACAGTTTTCAGGAAACAGGAAATAGATGGTGGAAAGAAGTCAATACATAAGGAAAATGGAATATGGATCAAATTGAGCAAAAGGCACTTTCCTTGCTAAAGTTCATGAGATCACAATGAGCAAAAGCAAACTTTTCTGATCCAAACAGATCGAGTTAACCTACAACAAAATCCCCTTTCATAGACTCCTTAATTTGCAGAAACAAAAGAAATCTAATATCCAAACAATGTGTTTATAAGAGAGCTCACCTAAAACAAACTCCCACCTTCATAGATCTCTACCTTTATGGATCCCTTGCAAATGATTTGCAGGAACAAAACAAACCCAATCTCCAAAACAATATAAAAATAGACATGACAATGCTCAACAAGAATCAACTTATCTATATGGGTCCTGAAGACTGCAAAATCATGGGCTGATCACCACACCCATGAAAACTCCCGCACCATTAACATAAAAATCTATATCAACCACTTCCAGCTAAAATACCCAAATTCTTGACATGGGTTGCAAAACAATGAGATTCTTCATATCGGTTCTTTCCTTATGATGATCACTGCTACATTCTAAATCTAACCATTGGCATTAACAGCTTCCCATAACAAATTCTTTGGCGCAGGGTTAGAGAGATCGCGAGCTTGCAAAGCAGCAGCTCTAAGTGTACCAATAGTCATTGAATTCGCCTCCCAAAAAGTCACACTTACGTATGGTAACCCATGTTTTTTACAAAGAGCTCGAACCAGAGGAGCTACCTTTCTAAGCTGCCATCGAGGCAACCGAGGAAAGAGATGGTGCTCCACCTGAAACTGCAACCCCCCATGAAACCAGTCCATCCATGGTGAGCATGAAATGTCAAGACTCCCCTTTGTTTGAGCTTCGAACCAGTCATTTCCTTTAGGCCTACCCACATAAACGCTAGCAGAGAAATGGTTTAAACAGAATTGAACATGTTGAATTCCAGTCACTGAAAAGCTACAAATAATAAAGAGGATTCTCTCACTCCAGTTTGGCAAGCAAACAACAAGATACGGAAACCAGAGCCAAAAAACCAGAACCCCAAGTAGTTCTTGGTTCCTTTTGGGCACTTTCTTCTGTGTGATTAAGAAGAAAATTGATTGAGCTAAGAGGTTAATTCTAGCAAAACACATAACTGGATAGAAAGTCCAGTGCTGATAACTCACCAAGTACCTCGAAATTCTATCGAAAACCATCTTCCTGTTATAGAAATGAGAGTTCAGGGAGCTGAAGAACCTGGAAGAAACAGCAAAGAGAGGCATGTGTTGGAGATCCGGATCGAACTCCAAGCTATTGCAAGCAATGTGATGAGCATTGTGATTATTCTTCCACCAAGCAATGCTGAGTCCAGTCAAGCAATTCCCTGTCAAAACCTGCAAAAATCTGTTCAATTTACCATTGCTGAGAACCTGGTAATGGCCTGAATCATGACCAACCCACCCACTTTGAGTCCAGATCATGCCCATTATGCACCCACACCCAATGTGAACCCAAAATTTATCAGACCCCAACACCCCATAAAAGCAAATGGCGAGCATCAGAGCCATGGAAAGTGCACAGAGGTAGAGAAACAAAGCCCCCTTCTGATCAAAGACGCCCATTTTCTTCAGATCGGAAGCGAGTTTTCGATAGTCCTTGGATACATCAGAGGCCTGATAATCTCTCAAATACCCAACAAAGAATTTGTCAAGGAATTTCCAAGCAGAGCCAGGATGATAAGCAACAAAGACATCAGTAACATCTTGGCCTGCAAGGTTTAGAAGAGGAAGGTCACCACCAGGGTGAAACTCTAACCAATCTGTGACATTATATACTTTTCCTTGAATTGAGATCCAAAGATCATTTGGGGTGTTATGAGATTGGAGTTCCTCTGAGGAGAAGTATCTCTTTTCCTTTGTCTCTCCTCCCTGTTCTTCTCTCTTCATTTCTCTGTCTTCTATGCTGTGATCTTCCTCTACCTGGCTTCCCATGGCTACAAGGATGGTTGCTTAATGGGGAAGAGAGAGAGAGAGGGAGGTGAGAAACTAAAAGAGAGAGAGAGGGAGAGAATGGAAGGTGAGGTCTTTGTCTATATATTTGAAATTTTACAGGCTGGATGGGTGCATGTGGAGCCACAGAACGGTAATGCTAATTGGGGGGTATCCAGTATCCACACACTGCCCTTCTAAATCCAGCTATCCTGTTATTGCAGAGAGAGAGAGAGAGAGAGAGAGAGAGAGAAGGGCTTTGGGGTCAAAGGTCTGCCCTGCAATTTACGGCGTGGGACCCCCTTGTGCTTTGATAATTTCTTTTTTGTTTGTTAAGATTGGGAATATTTTGCCAACTTTGGGAGATGCCTTGGGATAAACCCTAAAACGTGACGAAGGTGAAGAGCGCATGCGGCCGTACAAGAGCCCGCCCGCACTTGCGTTTAAACCAATGGTTTAAAAAACGGATTGGTTGATCCCAATCGGGGTACCCAAAAAATCGGATCCAGATTTAAGAATCGGCCATTCGGATCGAAAATCGGGTGAATTGATCGGGATAAAACTTAAAAAAAATCCGAAAAAATTATTAAAATTCATGATAAATATTGTTTTTTAGGAATTCAATAAGAAATGAGGGTACTCCATTAAGAATTTTCATGTTTTTGAATGAATATGCGAATATTGATATGTTCTTTCCCTGCATGAACCGCCATTCAGCTTTTAATTTATATCACACAAAAGGATAAACATAGAATTATCATGAAATAAGTATATCAACATACATGGACTACAATAAAGCATAAAATTAGTAACATATGATCTAAAAATAAAATGATAGACGACGTTATTGTTCTTCTTGGTCACGCTGGTGCCATTGATTGAATTCGTTTAACAATTCATTGATTCGATCTAAAAACGAATCATCGATATTAGCAGGCGTCTGACTATTCCCAAATCCCTGAGTGTTAGTGTTTTGTTGTATTCCCAATCTAAAATCCCCGAAGCTTGTCCATCCTTCATGTTCACCTGCACTGTCTTGCTCATCCGTACACTGTTGCTGTTGGGACTCGATATGTGAATAATATGGCTGGGATAGGGTGGCCTCAGAATCATCATCTCTCTCATTTTCACTTTGAATAATATGGATTAAAAAAAAAATTTAACAAATTTTCAAAAAAATCGATCATGGATTAAAAAAAAAAAATCACAAATTTTCAAAAAATTCTATCATGGATTACAAAAAAAAATTCGATCATGGATTAAAAAAAAAAATCACAAATTTTCAAAAAATTCTATCATGGATTACAAAAAAAAATTCGATCATGGATT